GAAAGCACAATTTAAGATTGTCAGGGAATTTTCTTTTATATAGAAATTATCACCTTTTAACATACATAATTAACCTGTTTATTATCTACTCCCCTCCCCCAAGAATGTAAGCTCATTAAGGCAGCACCCCCTCCCCATAATGTATCCCCTATAAGTGCCTAGAACAGGATGCAACTAATAATATAAGCACTTAGTAAATGTGTTGAAAACATGAAAAATTTGTCAAAAAATGACATCTGGGGACACCCCAATCTTTTGGGATTCTCAGATTGAGAAATGGGGATAGAGGAAAAAGCTCTGGCTTAGGAGTCAAAGAGGCCTGAGTGTGAATCTATTTCTTAGCTATTATCTCTTACTCTTCTGCTCACTCGCTGCATGACTTTGGTCAAGTACTTAAATTCAGGGAGTCTGTTGTTTCTTCTTTAATACAATGTAAAGCTGCTGAAAATGAGAAAAATGGCTAGTACATAACATACCAGCATATATGGAGATCATCACCATTATTAATATTAGAGATGTCACAGAAAACTATTTAATCAAACAAAACTGCACTTTTCTATGATTTTCCCTTCCTTTATTATCTTACTCATAAAAAGGTAAAATAAATGAATATATGGAATAAATGAAAAGGTAAAAAGAAATAGGATGTAAAACTTCCACTAAAAGAACTGCACAAAAATACTGGAAGATGTTTTCAGAGTCATTTGTCGATGTTGAAAGAGCTTGGCTATCATAGAATTACAAAATAAGCGAAAAACAAAGAATAAACAAGAAAACAGAAATAGATGAAATACAAGAGAGAAAGTAAAGATTGCCTTGTGGCCCCCGCCGCACACAAGTGACTTTCTCCCTCAGCATTCAGATAGCCTTTCTCTTCCCACTTTCTTCCTCCTGCAAGTTCTACTCAGCTCATCAGGAACTCTACTCCCCAGGCCAACCCTGAAGGAAGAATTAACCTACTTACTGAACCCTTAGGCAGTGTGCGCAGCCAGGAACCTGGGTATTTGGTGAACACACCGAGGTAATCTCAGCATTTTATAGCAATTTCTCACAACCACTGAAGAAAGAGGTATAAAGCAACTTACTATAATAAGAAAGCGCAGTGTAAATGTATTCCTTGGTTTAAGATTTTTCTGCCAAGCGGAATTCTCAGAATTCTTTGGAAGTGCAAATTGAAGATCTGTCTCAGGCAGACATTATCTATTTTATAAAGGGAGAATAAAATATTACTTAGTTTTAGGCAACGGACATTTCATTAGTATTCACAGTTCAGCACAAAATAAGCAATGTTGGATGGCTCAGTTCAGTCTTAACCCAAACCATGTTCCAATAGGCACTGGTAGATTAAAATGGGTTTGCTCTCCAACATCCTTAATAATGCTAAAAAATAGTTACATGTGAAATACACCCCTGAAAATAACTTGAGTGTCAACAGCCAAGCCCATAAGCTTTCCCTTGCCCTTACTTGTCACCTGGTTCTGTCAGTATGCTAGTTCAACTAATGATCTTTAATGCTAATGAGCAATAGATATGATGTTAACCAACCTCCACTTAGCTGACTCACTATATTGCCCTGAACTCTTCATTTTATCTATAGAAACATAATTGATATACACCTTGTTGAGGGTTCATGGCTAATAAGCTATTCTGTAGTGTGGACAGGCACTTCTTCCTCCAGTTAAGCAGAAGCTTGCTAAAGATCATTTGTGCTTGTTTCCAATACTGTTTACTGCCCATTGTACTTGTTACTTTTATTACATACTCTAGTTAACCATACACAAGCTGATAAAATATTAGTGCAAAAAGAATACTGTAGCCTGTATAAACAACAACAAAATAAGCTGAATGCTCTAAAAGGATGCAATATAGAAGTCACTAATTAACATGAATTAGGTGAGGATGAAACACTAGAAAAGTTTAGAAGAATAATTGTAAACATCTATAAGTATTCTGTATTCAAATTGTTTCAAAATGCCTTTACCATCTCCAAAGAAATCAAAACGAAATCATACATCATACATCATGCATTAAGGTAAGAGCATCGAGAACACCACTCAGTAACCTATAGTCAAAAGACCTTAGCAACTTTACATCTAAGAATTGGTGAATGAATACTGTTTTATGTTTCAAAGGCAATAAAATGCTTAAGTACTAACACTTTTATTAGTCCCAGCTATAACCAACATTTTTGGTTAACTGCCCATTTACAGGCCCCAAACGTATCAGTTAAGAGGGTTCTACTCTATTAATCTTTTTTGTTTGTTTTTGTTAATCTTCATGGGAGGATATTTTTTCCATTGATTTTTTAGAGAGAGTGGGAGAGAGAGAGGGGGAGAGAGAGAGAAACATCCATGTGAGACACATCAATTAGTTGCCTCCTGAATGTGCCTGACAGGGACCAGGGATCAAACCTGCAACCCAGGTTCATGTCCTTGACTGGGAACTGAATACTAGACTCTTCAGTCAGTGGGCTGGCACTCTAACCACTGACCCACAATGGCCAGGGCTACTATATTAATCTTGACTGTTTCTCCTCAGTCTCAGAATGCCAGACACTTCAGATTATAGAATTCTCCAACACCCTTAAATTCTACTGAAAAGCATCTGCTAAAAAATATTAGTTGTTAGTTAGAACTTAAGGATTTCTAGCTGAATTTAAAATTTAATGTAAGATTTCAAAGAGTAAGTAATAACAAGAAATACAACTACATGAGGATACTAAGTAGTTAGAGAAGGAAGAATAACTAGATACACCAAAAACACAACTTTGAAAGGCAGGAGAGAAATCAGAATGAGTGTTCTAAAAAATGAAACAGTAAATCAAAAGAAGAAAACAATTTAAAGTGACACAGAAAGGATGGGTGATGGATGTGAACCAATGCTGAAGATATAATTTTAATTATTGGTTATAGTGAACAGCTTCATCAACTGGAAAATGGTTATTTGAACTATAATGTATCCAGTGTGGAATTCTATGCAGTAGTTAACAATAAGGCAGATATGTAGACATAGACCAGAAAATATTCCAGTGCTTTAATATTGAATAAAAACTGCAAGATGCTGAAAAATATGATCCCATTTTTTCTCAACATTGTGCATATGACATTGTACATACAGAGAAAGTCTTGACCATACAGAAAGCTGTCAGCAATGGTTACCCTGGAGAGAGGCAGTGAGGATGGGTATACTTTATTTTCCCACATTTCTATAGGGCTCATTGTCTTACAAAAATATTTTGTTACTTTCTAAGTAAATAACAAACATCCAGCTTTGGAAAAAGGCAAGGTGAACAATATAAACACATAGAATTGGTGGTTTAAGAAAAGCTACTTTATATCTCAGTCTAAACACCTTGGATATTGTTAATGTTTATAAGCTTATGACTTCTGCTGTGATAGTGGTAAAATAGTATGAGATGCCTTTTCCAAAATGAAATGACTAAGAAAGTCTAAAAGAATTCTCTAAAAGAAACTAATGAGATCAACATTGATATCTACATTTCAATTTGTCTCTGTTTATGCCTTTTTGCTCTGTTATGGGGATTTCCTTTCACATTACTAATTCAGTCCATGACATGTCATTTTTACCAATTCTACTGAATTTTCTGTTTTGACCATCATGCTTTTTAACCTTTAAGATTTCTTTCTGTTCTGATTTCTCCTTTGCATGGAGGCCTCTTCTGTGTTCTCTCTCTGAATCTAAGGATTCAAACTAAAGTGTTTTATACACACACACGTGTATATATATACATATATGTGTGTATATATGTATATAAATATATACACACACACACATATATATAATTGATTTTAGAGAAAGGGAGAGGGAGAGATAAACATCAATGATGAGAGAGAGTCACTGATTGGCTGCCTCCTGCATGCCTCCTACTAGGGATTGAGCCTGAAACCCGGGCATGTGCCCTGACTGGGAATTGAACTGTGACCTCCTAGTTCATAGGTCAACACTCAACCACTGAGACATGTGGGCCGGGCTCAAACTATTCAAATTTTTGTATTTCTTGCACCATCTACTGTTCCTCTGGGGTCAAGAATTCACTTTTCTCATTTTATTTTTTCATATTCATTTTGCTGATTTTCCTCATATTCTACTGATATGTGTTCTTGTTTATAAATGAAGAACAAAGCTGATTGTGATACGTGGTCACCAGGGATTTCCTGTATCTCTGCTGTAGCTCTGTGTCATCTGTTTCTCCAGCACAAACTTTCCCTTCCTCCATTAGCTGGCTGATTACCACATCTGATTAAATGGAAAAGACATGCAAACAGACTTATGATCCATGAATAGGCAGCAACAGATAAAGGGGTCTGTGCCACAGTGTTGAAAGGCACTCATGTATGTGAGAAGCCCTTAGTATATTTACAGAGCATCTCCTACCAGATATAAAAAGTAGTTATTATGGTTTTCGTGCAAGGACAAATCCTTCATTGAAGAGTCTGTATAGGAGGAAGGGGTTGCCTTTAGCCATCAAGTCCCCTTAGCCTCTGTCAATCTGTGACCATTTCTCGGTCTTTCCTGTTTTCCCATGATCTTGACCCTTTTAAAGAATACTGATTGGTAATTTTGTAGAAGAAAAAACACCGTCAATTTGACTATGCCTGAAATTTTCTCAGTACTAGACTGAGATTATGCTTTTTGCCAAGGTAATGCTAAACCTAAGATGGCACAGTGAGAAAGCATCATATCAGGAAGTACCTGATGTCAAGATGTGCCCATACTGGTTGATGGTAACTCTGAAAACATAGTTAAGGTGGTATCTGCCAGGATTCTTTATAGTAATTATTTTTCTCTTTGTAATTAATTCATATCTTTCAGGGGACATACTTTGATGGGATAAAAGAAGAATGATCTTTTTGTCATACTTTCATTCAGAAATTTTAGCATCCATGAATGATTATTGCCAGCAATAATTATTTCTGTAGTAGCCAAATGGTAATGTTCTATTTCCATTATTCTTTCTACCTTTATTTACTGGAATTTTACTATAAGAGCTGTCCTTTTGCCACAATTTATTTAATATTTTTACATCATTGTAGCTTCATGGATATTTATTTAATGTTATGGGTTATAATCCATTATTGGCAGTATATATTCTATTCACATGGTGTTTTAAAAATTACTTTTTATGGTTGATTTCAAATATGGTCATGTGTTCTGAGAAAACATAATCCAAATATCACTTTTTGGACATCTATTGAGATTTCCTTTGTGACAAAGCATGTGGTTAATCTTTTGTAAATTTTCTTTGTATACAGACATAATGAATATTCTTTTTGCTTTCGAATTTTTTCATTGTGAACTATGTAACATGTAATAGTGTACCACATATAATTATATGTTTAGTGGCTTATTATAAAGCACATACCTGTGTTACTACCATCCAGGTAAAAAATAGAATCTTGATAGTGACAGAAAAACATCTCAAGTGCTATGTTCTAGTATGTCTTCCCTGCTCACTGTCCCCACCCTCAGCCCAGAGAAAAACAATGCCTTAATTTTTAGATTATCTAGTTACCTACTTCTAATAAATGTAACACCTAAGTATGCATTTCCGAAAACTATACTTTAGTGAAACAAGATATATTATGGAAACATGCTTAACAGTATCACAAAAGAAAGCTTCAAAACAAGCAGTACTGCCAGAGACAAAGAAAAATATATCATAATGATGACGTTAAATTCACTAAGAGAAGGCTGATTCTCAACCCACTCAAGTCTTCTATGCCAGATAGGAGTCTAAAAGAGAAGTGGGACCCTGAGCCTTGGGATGAGGGTGTTAGGGCTGATGCAACTGAGAGTTTTAAACACCCAGATTACCCTCAATCCTCTGGGCCTGTGGAAGGGACCCACTACCACCTCTTAGAAGATGGGAATTCCACCTTGTTTTATGAACAGAAGTTTCAAATGAGGCAGGTGCCTTATAATACTTTCCTTTTTCAGAACCTGATTTCACTTCACCTCCTGGGCACCAAAGAAGTAACTAGTCAAACCTCAGCATCTTCTCATTAGGGAAATTTTGGGCCTGCTAAGGGAGGAGAATGATTTAATGCTAATAGAAGAGAATGACAGGGTCATAGTACCTGCCTACTAAGTACCATAGGCACTGGCAGAATATACTCGGGAGTAGATCCTAAGGGTGCTGGGCCAGGAAAATGGAATATAAAGTTAATAAAGGGGACTTTTCCATGACTCAGAATTAATGCCCTGAGAAAGGGACCTTGTAGTTAGTTTTTAATACAGATGGGATGGCTCTTGGAAACGTGAAAAGAGCAATGGCCTACATTAAATAGAGATAGGACAACTGGTGTTATAAACTATTCAGGAAGTAATAAAAACCTCAAAGAAGTTGGTATGCTGGAGTGAAAATGTTATATAAGACCAAAACCCAGCTCACTATGTTTCCTGGAAAGACTTGGAAAATGCTTCACTTACCAGCATCATTGAATATCTTAATAGTCACTGTTCTCTGTAGGTGGGAACTTTAAAGGTGATGGTATGATAGAAATGGAATCCCTTCTTTAAATGTAGATAATATAATCCAGGAATAGCAGAGATTAGGTGGCAGTACTTAATTATCAAGAGAATGGTGGAAATAAGTATTATGATAGGAAGCAAGTTTCAAATGGTAACCAGTAGGTGCCTGACCCATAGGGATTTACCGAGATGGCTCAGAGAACTTGGTATTACTAGAGGCAAGACAGATGGGCAGTCAATAAAGGTGTTTTAAGGCATCATTATTGAGTTTTGAGTTTAAAAAGAGAGAAACAAGAAAACACATACACTTACAGCTATAAACTGTGATTCTTTCCGTGAAGACAAAGTTCATGGTGCCCTGAGGGAGATAGGTTGTAGCTTCCCACTATCTTCTCATTCGTCCAACCAAGACTCTAGGAAACAAGAGTGATGGATCATTCGGTCATTAAGGCTACCTCTGTAGCCAGAGGGCCCTGCCTCCCTTCAGTCCTGCACTCCTGCTTGGGGTGAGCCTGGCCAGGTTGGACTGATTGGGCCTTTTCAGAGGCAAGAAGGAGCTCCTGGAGTCTCTGGTCTGTTCTCAGCTGGATTCCATACTTGATTGTCTTCACTTCCTTGTTATTTATAAAATTGTCTATTCTGTGCCTTTTATTTAGGGTATTTAGGCCATTTACATTTAATGTGATTATTGAAGATGACATTAAGTCTATTATCTTGCTATCTGCTTTGGGTTAATTGGGAACTTTTGATAGTTTCATTTTCTCATTTATCTTATTAACTATAACTCTCTGTTGTGTCATTTTTGCTCTTTGCAAAGTTTATAATATACAACTTTAACTTATCATAGTCTACCTTCAGGTGATATTATACCACTTAATATATGGTGTAAGAACCCTAGGAGAAAATTCTCTCATTTCACTATTTTCTTCAATAGCTTTGTGCTACTGTTGTCATGGATTTTACTTTTATGTTATAAAATAATACACTTATAATTTTTGTTTTAGTCAATTACCTTTAAATACATTTAATAAATTATAAAAATTTACCAACATAATTATCATTTCAAGGCTTTCCATCATTTTCCATTTGTCTGAAGTTTCCTTTACCATTTTTTATAGTGTAGGTCTGCTAATGAATTCTTTCAGCATTTGTACATGTTGAAAATGTATTTCACTTTTACTTCTGAAAGCTATTTTTGCTGTTTACAGGATATCAGTTTAACTTTTTTTTTCTTTCAGTACTTTTAACGATGTTTCTCCACTATCTTAGGGCTTGCATTGATTCCAATAAGAAACCTGTCATTTTCATCTTTGTTCCTCTGTATATGTCTTCTTTTCTCACTGCTTTTAAAACACTGCTTTTTACTGATTTTGTAAAAGCAATTTGATTATGATGTACCTTAGTATAGTTTCCTTTGTGTTTCTCATGCTTGGGATTCATTGAGATAGGTGGACTTGTCAATTTATACTTTTCACAAAATTTGGAACAATTTCAGCTATTTCTTTGAATATACTTTTTGTCTCCCTTCTATCTGTCCTTCGAGGGCTTCAATTATACATGTAATAGGTGACATGAAGTTGTCTCACAACTCACTGATGCTCTCTATTCATTACTTTTCTTTCTATGTTATTTTAGATAGTTTCTATTAATATATCTATAAATTGATAATCTTTTCTTCCAAATATCTAATCTGTCACTACTTTTCTGACATGGCATTCTTCATCTCAGACAGGGTAGTTTTAGTATCTACTAGTTCAATTAGAGTATTTTAAAAAATCTTCCACATCTGTTTAATATGTTCCTGATTTCTTCTAGCTTTTTGAATATATGGCTCCAGTACCATGAAAAAGACTAAACTCTCTTCAATAGATTGTCTTTGACCCTTTGCCAAAAAGTTGTGTGTCTATATCTGGGCTATCCTGTTGCACTCATCTTTAAGTCTATCTTTATATCATTATCACACTGTTTTGATGACTGTGGCTTATATTTTTCTACATTTATTAAACTGACAATTTAAAAAATCTAGTGATATAGTGAATCAAATTGATTTTAGAATGTTGAACCAACCTTTCATCCCTGGAATAAACCTGACTTGGTCATTCTTTTTATATATTGTTCAACTCAATTTGCAAATATTTTGTTAAGAATTTTTGTGTTTATGAGAGTTACTGGTCAGTAGGTCACTGCTCTTACATTGTCTTTGTCTGGGTTTGGCATCAGAGTAATGCTGACCTCCTGAAATAAGTTGGAAAGTGTTCCTTCCTTTTCTATTTCCTAAAAGAGGCTGTTTAGGATTGGCATGATTTCTTCCTTAAATGTTTGTAGAACTAGTCAGTGAAGGCATCTGGGCTGCATGTTTTCTTTATAGAAAGCTATTTTAACTAAAAATTCAATTTCTTTAACAGACATAAAACTATGTGTTATTTCCTCTTGAATAAATATTGGTAGCTTGTCTTTCAAGGAATTTTTTCATTTCATTTAGGTTATCAAATTTATTGATATAGTTGTTATTTACTTATCCTTTATTATCCATTTAATATCTGGCAGGTCTTTAGTAATGTTCCCTCTTTCACTCCTGCTTGTGATAATTTGTGTCCTCTCACTTTTTTTCTTATTTAGTCTGGCAAGATGTTTATAAGTTTTTGTATTTTTTGCAAAGAACCAGCTTTTGAGTATACTGATTTTCCCCACTGTTTTCAATTTCATTGGTTTATGCTCTTATCTTTATTATTTCCTTAATTTTCTTGTTTTTTATTTAATTTGTTATCTTAAGACAATTAGAATATTGATTCAAAATCTTTTTTTGGTTTCTAAAATAAGGCATTAAAGATTATTTCTCCATAAGTACTTTTTTAGCTGCATTGTACAAATTTTGTGTTTTTATTCATTCAATTAAAAATATTTTTTATTTATTAAAATTTATTTTTATTTTTAATCCTCAAACAAGAATATTTTTTCCATTGCTTTCCCGAGAGAGTGGAATAAAGGGGGAGAGAGAGAAACATTGATGTGAGACAGAGACACACATTGATTGGTTGCCTCCCACACATGCCCTGACTGTGGTGGAGATCGAACCTACAAATGAGGTACATGCCCTTGACTGGAACTGAACCAGAGACTCTTCATTCCACAGGCTGGTGCTCTAACGATTGAGCAAAATGGGCTAGGGCTAAAAAAAATATTTTTAAATTGTGCAAATATTAAACCAAATAGAATACCAGGTAAACAGGCATAAATCATGCTTTCCTCAGGCAAACTGGACATACAGGCACCCGTTGAGTTGATCCAAAGTAATAAATATTTTTTAATTTCCCTGCGACTGTCTCTTTAATTCATGTGTTATTTAGAAATGTTTAATTTCCAAAAATTTGGGATTTTCCAGCTATCTTTCTGTTATTGATTACTAGTTCAGTTTATTTGTGTTTAGAGGATATATTTTGTCTGAATTCAGTACTTATAGATTTGTTGAGATTTTTTTGAATGAATCAGAAAGTAGTTTATCTTTGTGGGTGTTCCAAGTACACTTTAAAAAATTTTGTATTCTGTTCTTGTTGGGTAGAGTGTTCTTATTTTTATTTTCTTAAATGGCTATTAATTTTTTGAAAATAAAACTGCACAAAAGGAAGGAATATGCCACATAAGGTTAGATTCAGAAATCTGATGGTTCAATGTGTGAGTCTGAAAGATCAAAAATTATTTTATAAGAATAGTTTTCTGTATGAACGTCATTAAGTACATGTGCATACAATTAAGAGAGACATAAGAGACCAAGCACCCACAATTAAATGCAGATAATGAATAAGTTACCTTTTTCATGTTTACCTCCCAATCTGTTGCCAGTCTATACTCGTTTAGTCGCATTGGTTTTATTTTAGTCCTTCCAAGCAGCCATGATCTTTTCTTGCCTCAGGATTTACTGAACATACACTCTACATGGAAAATACTCTCTCTCTTTCTCTTTTTGTTTAATTCATCTTCAATGTTCAGAATTAATCTTGCATTCACTTTTTTCAGAAAGCCTTTTCTCACATGCCTTCAAAGATCAGGTCTTCCCATTGCACATTTTCATGGCAACCATACCTCTTTCCCAGAACTTTTTGTGACTAAAATAAAAAATATAAAGCCAGATTAGGTCATATTATCAAAGTTTCTTACAAATTTTTAGGCAAAGATGTTAAGACTTCTCAAAAGGTTCAGAGTCATCTATTCAAATAAGTTATCAAAATGAGATGTGAAGTGGCCAACTAACCCGACTGGTGACTTAACTGAAGCCTCTTCTGAAGATTTCTCTGAAAGCAGAATTATACCCTCAGAAGAATATTGAATGCATCAGTCTTTCATATTACATATCTAATAGTAAATCCAAGGGACTATAATTTATAAAATGTTTCACACAGAAGGGCACACACAAAACCAGTCAAAATGAGAAATCTCATTTTTCTGCCTTCATAGAGCCAGGCAAATAGATAAGGTGTCTATATTTCTCTAAGACATTCCTTGCTTTAGAAAGGGAAATCCATATACAAATATCAAGTTTGGCTCAAATAAGTTTTCTTTTCCAAATTAAATCTAAAAATTAATCCTTTAGAGTCTAATAGTTTCTTATAAACTTTTAGGCAAAGGATTTGGGTGAAGAGAGTGAGAAGAAAATCTTCATCTTTCATGAACATTTGGAAAGTTAATTTATTTTAAATAGCACTTGACAATACTACTAGGGAGCACTTGTAGGAAAATACAGAGATTTCCTGGCAATGGAGTTGGAAGAGCTGCCTTCCCCATGTCTCTCAGGCTCACTTTGTAAATTATGTGAAACACTTTTAGACAGACACTGGTACTCATAAATTATACAGCTCATTTGCATATTCCAGTCATGAGACATTATGCAAAGTGACACGATTTGCATAATGGATTCCTCTTGTCGCTTCAGTTGCTGCTTGCTTTTAAAAAACAAAATGAAATAAAATGAAAGCATAAAAAGGTGAAAGCATCAAGTTCCCAGCTTTGCCTATGTCCTTCCCAACTACAGTATCAACTGCTTTCATTTCCTATAGAGGACTGGGGTGAAGGGGACAGAAAGTAAAAATCTACACACATACAAACAAAAAAAACAAAGAGCTTTCATATGAATTTTGTTCTTAATTACAATGTACCTACTTTTTAGTTGAAATCCTTCACCATAAATAATCCATCTGAGTCAAGAGGGAAAGAAACAAAACAAAACACAGATATAGAGAAAGAAACTGGAACTTTTTCTTTAAGAAAATATCCTTTGCCTATATTTAGGGAAGGGGCAGCCTTTCTCTCCTTGTAACTAAAAACAAAACAAAACAAAACAAAAAAATCCCACCAGGTATTTTCTTATTATTGGAAAAAAGTATATTATGGATGAGATAAATGGTCTGGGGCAGGGACTCCCCCCAACCCCCCATAAGAACTTCTGAAGGGTTTTCCTGTTTTTAAAAAGGAAGGGAGAAGAAAGGGCTGTGCTTTATTTTAAAAAAATATAGAAAGGCTAAATACACTGTAAGGATGAGACAGTACCACGTCGACTTCTATCGGCTTTACTCCAATGAACAGGCAACATTCCCTCAGCAGTTGCTAGCTTTGCTGCGGGCTTTCCCTGCCCCCCTGCACCAGTGCGGAGGCAGAGTGTGCCAAGCGGCTGGCGTCTGTACCCTGTGGGAAAAGTTAACTGTAATTCTTCGGCTTTTAAAATCAATTAACCCGTGTGTTAATTAACGTCAAGTCGACGGGAGGAGGAGGAGGAGAAGAAGGGGAGGGAGGGAGGAAAGAAAAAAGCTGCAAGGGCGGATGGCAGAAGAGTTGGCACAGTGCCATCCATTCAGGGGCAACGCCACAGTTTCGTGTGATAGCAGCAGCGGGTATATGTTACGGGGGCCCTGAATGCGGGCCATGCAGTGCGGTAAAGCCAGGGGAGATTATCCAGACCCCCAGGAGCGAACAGCAAGCAGCAACCGAAGGCGCAAGTGCCAGGATTACAGCCTAGGCTGCTCCAACTATGAGCCCTTCCTCGGACCCAGGGACTCGGCTACTTGGGGTTTGGGGGTCTTCCACACCAAAGAGGCACAGAGCTGACTTTAATCACTTTTTTCCTTTAAACTTGATTCTGCCGCAGTGGAGCCAGCACAGTGGATGCTTTCACACCCAGCAAGACAAAGGCCGTCGTCTCCGCCATGACACTGTTCCGTTCCAAGCAGAGGCCGGGATCCTGGACTCCTTGAAAAATCAAAAAGAAACAAGGAAAACAAGCAAAAAATACAGCAACAAACAGAAAAAATGAACAACCACCAAAATCGTGTGCCCGTTTGCCCATGCCAGGGGTGATCTGGGCATCTGTTGCAGCAGAAGGCGCTTGTGTGAGGCTATTTTTTTTTTTTTTTTTTTTTTTTTTTTTTTTTTTTTTTTTTTTTTTTTTTTTTT